CTTGTGGGTTTTTTAATAGTGAATACATATGATAGGTTTCATAATCAGAAATAATTTCATTTTTAAATTTAAAATAAAATCAAGTTAAAACCCCTGTATCACTTCCAAAATTAAAAACAGTCTTCTTTCCAATGTGGTTTGTGGAATCAGTATAAATACTTAACAATTACGTATTTGGTATACCTTACAGAAAAATAATAGGCAAGGAACAAAAAAAGAACAATCTTATTTTCAAGCTAATCATCATGTCTTAATACCAATTCTTTCCAATTAAGTCAGGATTTCTCAATACTTAATTTAAAAGTTAAGATATATACACTTATAATTTCTTCATATTTTGTCAGATTATCAATCTATTAACAATGCAGAAAACTAAATGAACTTTCACCTCTTCTGCAACTAAATTACAATGCTTTAGTTAATAAATTAGATTTGAACCTTAGAGAAATAAAATCAGAAAATCTTACAATAGAATCATTCTGAACACTGTGTAAAGACTTAAACAGGTACATAATAAATCTAAACCTAGACATGTCCAAGATGCTGCTCTGCAAGAGCACCAAGACGATACCTCTGAAGTTAACAATACTCCATCTTAAGGGGAAAAGTGTTTAGGAATATTAGCATAATTTTTTAAAAATATTTTTTAGTTGTCAATGGACCTTTATTTATACATGGTGCTGAGAATCGATCCCAGTGCCTCCCACATGCTAGGCAAGCCCTCTACCATAAGTCACAGCCACAGCCCCATACTAGCATAATTTTATGTGCTAACTTTGTTTATAAAGTTGTTCTAAATCAACAACTTAGAACTATGAGATATTTCATCATTAACAGAATAGATTTAATATAACTCAACCTTACAATTTTCTTCTGACTTCATTTGTTTTGTCTTACTATTTTACAGTCATTCCATCTGCACTGCCAAGGTACCATGCTTTCAAAGTTTTACCACACAAAAATAAGAAAAAAAAATTTTTTTGGAGGTATTAGGAATTAAACCCAGGGCTCCACACATGTAGGCAAGTACCTACCACTGACCTATATCCCAGCTCCCCCACTTTTATTTTTTTTTTTTTGAGACAGGATCTCACTAAATAACCACAATGATGTCATTACTCTATGACACTGCCACCTGTCATTTAGACAACACAGTTCTAAAACTACATAAAAAGTGAACTCCTTACCCCAAACACCTTCTATCACAGCTCCAACATAAGAAAATGGGTGAAATGTAGCAAATGTATGAGATATCCCAGATACCCCTAAAGTCTCTGCAACACTGACTATTTCTATTAGCAGTTGCAAGTGCTGAAAGGTGTCTACAGAGCACAGAAGCTGAAACTGTTTCTGTTGCCCTATCAATGGCATTAGGAAATTCTGCACTTAACAACATATACCACATTTACTACTGCTTCACAACTCAACACTTCCAAGAAAATAAAATAGGATTCTAATATCATCCTCCTACATATTTAGATTGCTTTTAATACCACCATTCCATTCGATCTTCACTGACAACCTGCAAAACAAGCAGAGAGGTTGCTCTTTCTCCTTTTACTAATGAGGGAACTGGAGCTCAAAGGGGTTATGTGGCATTCCAGAAACAGAAGGCCTAGTAAGGAGCCCAACCTAGACTTGAACCCAAGGCATATTGATGAACCCACTGTCATGCTAAAACAGTTTTCATCTGAATATCTGATATAAATACGAACTTAAAAGGTATATTAAGTTTCTGGACACAGAACAAAAGTGAAGATGAAAGTATGATACCAGTATTAGTATCACAAAATTAAGATTAAAAATAGCAATGACAAGCTAATAACTTTGGTAGCCTCTAAAATTACCAAGAGTCCTAGTTCAATTCAATACAAATGTGATACCATACTTTGTCTTAAACTGATGTTTTACCAATTATAAATTTATATATAAATTCACCATAGAAAATACAGAACTGGGTGGTCTGTAAGAAACAACTCACCACATAAATTGCACAAACTTCTCCCAAACCATTCTTATGACTTCACACCAAATTATGAAGTTCCCTATTTGAAACCAATCTGATTTCAACACTAAATGAATTACAACAGCATAAGCATGTTGTCTCTAATACTTACAACATGCACTCAATTTCCAGAACACTTTTGGACAATGTATAAAATCTGCAAGTTAAAAGCAAAACTCAAGACAAATACAGTTTGTTTCTTTAAAATGAAAGATTACCTACATGAGATGAATACCAAACTAGAAATTATTAAAGATGTGCAGAATCAGGCTAGTCAATGAGTCTAGGCCCTTAATTGCATAGATGAGGAAACTGAAGCCCAAAGAAGTTAAGTGACATTCCCAACAGCAATTAATGACACAAATTGAATTAGAATTTAAATCTGACTGCCAATCCAGAGTTTCCTATGAGTTCACCCTACTGCTGCATTTAATAGAATTGCTTTTTTTTAAAGTCATTGACACCTAAAAAACATAGAACACCCAAAGACTCAAAAACAGAAGACAAAAAGAAACTGAGGCAGAAGGATCACAAGTTCAAGGCCAGCTTGGGCAACTTAGCTAGACCCTATCTCAAAATAAAAAGGGCTGGGGACATAGCTCAGTGGTAGACTACAGAACACCAAAAGTTACAAACAACAAGGACTAAAAACAGGTTCTTTAATCCAATGCAAGATATCAAGTAGCTTTTAATAACTAATGCTATCAACCACCATAGCTATTTTTTCCCATACCTACACTATATATTTACTCAAAAAATATGTGAGGACATAAAATATGTCAAGAACTGCTAAGTACTAGGGACACCAAGGAACAAAATAGATACAATCTCTGACTCTGGAAGTGAACAACTAAGTGCATCTCTCTAAAAATATTTCTGACAGGAAATTTACCAAACTCTTCCACTACACAACTATAAGAACACTTCCACCTCTCTCAAACTTATAACAACCTCACCGCACCCCCTTTGAATACTTCCTTTAGTAACTTGGGATTCCACTTTACCACAGAAGATGTTAACCAGGACTTAAAACAGATTTTAACTGACTTTAACACCCTTTACAGCCTGGGGCAAATTTCAAAAACTTCCTGAAGCACAGTAAACCTTCCTAATTCACAGTCCTGGTCTCCAATAACTGCTAACACACCCATTCCGCCCTTCACTTTACCAGAAACCTGAGTCAGATGGTTTAGAAGCAAACATGATGTTAGGATGGCAGAAAGCAATTTCAATACACACTTCTATGAGCCAGAAGCAAACTTAGCTTCTTTGCTCTGGATTCTCTATCTCTGGATATGGCTCCAGTTAAGAAGCATCTAATTTAATTAAATGTATTCCTAATGACTTGTGAACCAATACTTCTTGGCAACAAACCTACTTTCCCTACATAAATCTACTGTATTTTAAGAGATGTTCAATTTGCAATTTCCAGTTTCTCATGCATTCTCTTCTTCCCAACCTCTCAAATTCTTAAACAGATCTATACACAATTAAAAGGGCTCTCTCAGAAGTCAGTTAATTAATAGGAATTCTTTAGAAAACCCAACCTAAGGCAGTTCACATACCTGGATGACCTGAATCATTCAGTGAGCTTTGTAATGATAGGTTCCCAAGCTCCATGCTCAGATTTTAATTCACCAGGTACTGCATAAGTCCCTGCAATCAGCATGTAAGACAGTCCACAATACTTCTAGGTAGCCACTGAACTAAAGAACCTGGCCGACAAGTTCTCCCATGGTTTGCCATTAAGTACAAGTGAGGCTACACCACCCTGGTTGCTGGTCATTCAAATTGCTCTGGGTCACTTGAAAGAAGCCTTCGCAGGCAACCAATTTATTCAGTCATTCTGTAAATTTCCTACCTATCCAAGTCATAGACCCTAGAAGGGAAGACTACCAACACAGCTTACTTAGTCTCCAAGCAAAAAGAACATGTCTTTTGCCCTATGGAAACGGCCCTGAATCTAAAAGGGAAAGGTGCCCCTCACTTCTCCATGGACAAATCACAAACATTTTACATTAAAAAAATAAAAATAAAAAATCTCCTGGAATTCAACCATAGCCTCTAAAGGAATCACTGTTCATGCTAGGAGAAACTAAACTGAACCTCAACTAGAATATGTGCACTTAATTTTTAACATGAAAATAAGTATGTCAGAAAACAAAGTGGATGTCAAACAGTAAGAATTTAGCCCTGAGTCTGGAGACGACACCAGAACATCAATATCTAACAGTAGCCCATGTGCAAAACTCACAAGATTATCAAACTTCAGAGAACCCATTAAAGTGACCATAAAATCTACCCCATAATTTTAAGATAAGGTTTCCAGCCCAAAGTACAACCAACAATATCATCTTATGGGTCCTGAGATGCAAACATCCAGCACAATTTCTCCCCAAGAAATAACACTGTAATCTTTTGTGGAGCTGTCTGACCAGTGTTTCTGGAGCTCCTCAACCGCCCCCGAAGTATCCTTCCCACCCAAGTACTACCAGGTCAGGAGGATGCCCTGCTGCAGTCAGGGGGCCACTCCTCCTTCCCACAAGGCCCGGCCCGCACTGCTCGCCTGGGGCTCCTAAGGCCCCCGACCTCCGGCCTCTCCACACAGTCTCCACAAAGCCAGGGCAGGAGGAAGGGTGCACACCCACCTCCCGGGGTTCGGCAGGCATTTCGCCGGGCCCCAATGGCAGCGCCCCACTCCAGGAGCTCCACGAGCTCGTCCTCGCCTGGACCGGGAAGGCCGCCACGGCCCAGGACCCCGCCTCCCTCCAGCCTAGGGTCTGGGGCGAGCCCGGTTGCTGGGCTCCCACTCCCCGCGCCTCCCCCTGGCGGTGGCAGCCACCCAGACCGCCTCTCCCCGGGCCCTACACACCATCCCCAGAACCCCGCAGGCCGACGCCTCCTCAGAGGGTGACAGCCACAGCGCCACGGCCGAGGCCGGCCCCTCCTCCAGCTCCTTCTCACCACCCGAGAAGACCGGGGGTGGGCTTCTTACCAGGGAGCAAGACATGGCGAGGCTCGGCACGGCACGGCCTCCTCCGCCACCCCCACGAGGCTCCCAGCCAGGGCTGGCGGGGGGGCAGCGCCTGGGCCGCAGGAGCGTCTAGTCCGGCTGCACCGCTGCCGCCGCCGCCTGCCACCGCCTTCTCACAACCACAACAACATGGCGGCAGCGGCCACACAGAGCGCGCTCCCGATGCTGAGCCGGGACGCGAGCAGGACCGCGTGCGTAGGCCCTAGCGCTCGGTTGAGGAGTAAAGGGGCGGGCCACCACGGGTCATACGGGGCGTGGCCTAGGCCTCTGACCCGCCCCTTGAAGTGAGCAGGGGCTGTAGACGCGCGTAATGCCGGCTACTTAGGAGACTCCTAGAGAAGCCCAGCCGAGAAAGAGTTAGACTGATGGGACAAGGGCAAAGGTAGAACGATGACAAATCAGAAGAAAATCAAATGTGGACCTACAGGTTTTTAGGAGGCATCTTTTCCTGACTCTATAGACCTAGGCAGTCCTTCTGCTCACTCTACAGAATAGTGGTATCTTTTACCTGCAGGCATAGTCAGGATAAAACTAATTTACTATAATGCTTGTAAATATGGTGTGGTTAGAATACAATCAAACTGCCTCAACCTCAGCTCCCAGTCAAAAGCACAGTAGAAAAGACGTGAGTTTTCAACAAAAGCAAATGCAAAAACAAACAAAAACAAAAAAAAACTGGAACTTACCCTGCAAAAGAATTACACATTCCAAAACTATATTACCTCATGTCCTAACAGATTCAACTCCTCTCAAATGCATTTTAACATTATGCCTTTGATTTTTTTTTTGGGGGGGGGTTAGGGGGTGGGGATGACTGAAGAATAATTCAAATGTATTTGTTGCATTATTTCCACAGTACTTTCTGAAATTATTTTTCAATGCATATCATCTTTTACCCTACTAGAATGTAAGAGCACTTGAAGATAAAGAACTTGTCTTGTTTATCACTATATCTCCAGCACCTAGAATTGTGCAAGACAAGTAGTAGGCAGTTGGATTTCACAACTAAAGGATAACATTTATTTATACAATTCATCTAATTGAATCTTCACAATTACTATAGGTAGATGCTGTTGTCTCTATTTTATGGATGAAAAAAGTGAAAACTAGAATAGGTTGTGTTTATTAAAACAAAATTCAAACCCAAACCCAATTAACGACAAAAACTGCCCTCACTCACTCAATTGTACCATCCACTACATGACATGGTCACCTAAAATAAAATTTCAAGTAAAAGCCAGGCATGGTTTAGTGCATACCTGTAATCCCAGTGGCTTGCAAGGCTGACGCAGAAGGATCAGGAGTTCAAAACCAGCCTCAGCAACTTAGCAAGGCTCTGAGCAATTAAAAAAAAAAGTAGGGGGGGAGCTGGGGATGTGGCACAGTAGCTAAGTGCCCTGGGTTCAATCCCCAGTACAAATACAAAAGTAAGAAATTAACATTACCGTTCAAAATTAGGAAAAATGGTTTACTCTCAGAGAAACTGGTGACTTCCTCCTTTCTGATAACTAGTATTAATGCCCCCCAATTGTGTCTCTGTTTTCATCTTGGCTTCCAGACAACCTAGAACTAAATTTGTGGTCCAATAGTGTCCTCTTGTTGGTCCTTAAAGTCATCTCCTGCTTGAACTGTGTGTGTGTGTGTGTGTGTGTGTGTGTGTGTGTGCATGTGTGTGCTCGTGCGCGCGCCCGAGTGTGTTGTATGTGTGTTTTCCCCAGGATCACACCCTGAGCTTTTATTTATATGTTGCTGTTCTGCTTTTTCCTTTCTGTATAAGAATATAGCCTTTTTCTTTTTTTATCTTTTTTAATGTTTTCAGATGTTGATGAACTTTTATTTTATTCATTTATTTATATGTGGTGCTGAGAATGAAATCCAGTGCCTAACACATGCTAGGCAAGCACTCTACCACAGAGCCATAACCCCAGCCCATCTTTCTTTTTCTTAATGGAAAAAGAAATAGTACATAGAATAGATGAATTACTTAAAAACAACAACAACAAAGTCTTTTCCCACATATTTCTCCCATTTCTAAGTTTTCCCTCAGTCACCAAGTCCCCTATAGGCAGAAATTCCCTGCCTAGCCCTTTGCTCACAGGCTTTAGGATAGACTTCCACAGGTAAGGAGCCACTGATTAGAACGAAGGTAGCACCTGACATCAGGGCAGCCCATCCTTAGGCTAGCTAGCTCCCCAAGAAGTGACTCAGAACAAAGTGTTCAGCCAATAGGCAGTGAAAATCCACTCAGCCAATCTCAGAGCTCTCAGAAATCCACTTGAAGCAAAAGTGTTGGCATGTCACTTTCACCTCTGTTTAAAAAGACAGACTATAGCTGTACTTACCTTTTAATCTGGGCTAAGGAAATCTCAACTGAATCTTCAACCAGTTTTTAGAACATTTGGAGCAATCTCTCTGTACCCATGAAATCACAGTATTTGGCCTGCTATTTCCCACAAAAACTAGCATGGATTGAACCTTTCAATGTGCCCTGCACAAATGCAAGCACTTTCCATGTAAAGGTCTGGACTTAAACCTAAGCAATTTGACTGCAAATACAAGGCTTCATCCCCACTGTAGTCCACTTGCTCACCTTTAAAACGGACATCAGTAAATTTTCTCTAAGAAAGCGAAAACTGCTTGCATGGCCTTGAAAGCTCATTTCAGGGGAGTTATGGGTAAAACTCAGTGGTAGTATGCATACTCAGCACACACCAGGCCCTGGGTTCAATCTTCAACATTAGAAGAATGGGAGGGAACCTCATTTCCCTTTTCATACACGTCAGTTTCCTCATTACCCTATGCAGTTGTTAGAACTATCTTGCTTACTTCAAAGAAGTATATATGGGTTCTTAGAGGTAACGAATTTAAAACATTTTGTACCCTATGAAAAAGCTAAACCAGCAGAGAGGATCTATTTGACTCTGGTTGAAGACAAAGCACTGTATACCATGAGTTAAGAAAAGAGGGGATGCTGGGTCCGGTGACACATGCCTGTAATCCCAGTTCAGGAGGCAGAGACAGGAGGACCTCAAGTTCAGCAATTTAGCAAGGCTCTAAGCAACTCAGTGAGACCCTGTCTCCAAATAAAATACAAAAAGGGCTGGGGATATGGCTCAGTGGTTGAGTTCAATTCCTGATATCAAAAAAAGAAAAGGTGGAGGGGGAACCCACCCATGTTCAGTGAGGGCATCTTCTCATTGCCTCATTCTCATGTGAAGGGCTCTGTTACCCATCTGACCTTCCTCTCCTCCTATTAATATCCTTTCAGCCTCACCCCCCCCCACACTACTCCACTCCCACCCCCAGCCACTATATTCAAAGCTGAAAAACGTTCTTCCAGCTACTCCAGGAATCTTTGAAGTAGTCTTAGATGGAAAGATGATTGATGGAGAACAGAGTCATGCAATGCCACTGGAAGGCAGAGGTCACTCAGCCCCCCAAAATGCATATGTCCCAACCTTAACTCCTTCTGCTTAATGCTAAAAGTGAGCACTTCGTATGGCTTATCCCCAGACTCCTTCAATGCTGCAACATATCCTGTACCTCCAACTCAGCTAGTAAACAGGGGTAACTATGGCTTTCAGATATGAAATAACAACTTGTTTGGGGAAGACAGAAACAAGAATTAAATAATATCTCTGTGATTCAAAATAACATTACCTGTCTACTGCTAGGGTGGGTCAGTGCAGCTCCAATTCAGTGTTACAGGAGTGATTCTGTAGACCACATGTCCTTAAGGATCCCTGAAACCCTTTCAGGGGTCTACATGGATCAAAACTGTCTTCATAATAATACTAATAAATTATTTTCCTTTTTACCATGTTGACATTTGTAGTAATGATGCAAAAGCAGTGGTGGTAAAATTTCTGGAAGGTTATCACAAATCAAAGTGATGGTACAATATGTACTAGTAGCCATTGTATTCTTCACCAGCATACATGTAGTAAACAGAATGTCAGTTTCACTTCAGAATGTACTTTATAAAATAGTTAAAAATACATAATTTTATTAATTCTAGACCTCTGAATACATGTCTTTTTACTATTGTGTGGAATGAAATGAAAATTACATACTAAGCATTTTGGTCAATTTCTTTATTGAGTTGAAATTCACATAACATAAAATTAACCATTTTAAGGCAAATAAATCATTGGCGTTTAATACAGTCACAGTATTATGCAACCAACACCTCTATCCCATTCCAAAACATTTTCAACACTTCAAAATAAAAAACTATGCTCCACTAAGCAGTTATATTCTATGCATAAAGCACTTTTGCTGTGTGCAGAAGTAGATAGTTGTCTCAAGAAGAAACACTTGTGCAACTGTTTGAGCTAGAGTTCCTTCAGGGAACTCTATTTTTACTTGAAAGAATGGTCAATATGCAAACTATAATTATTCAAGCCAGGTGCAGTGGCACATACCTATAATCCCAGCAAGTCAGGTGGCTGAAGCAGGAGGACTGCAAGTTCAAGGTTAGCCTTTTATTGTGAGCAAAAGTGTCTCACAATAAAAAAGGCTTGGGATATGACTCAGTGAGAGAGTCAATGCCCAGTAGAGGGAAAACAACAGTTATTCAGGTTGGGTATTTGACAGATAATTTCTCAAAACTGAGAAAAGGAAGTAAGTTTGTCACTTCAAAATTCAAGTTTAATTTTAATTTTGGAAAAACTGAATAGCCTACCATGACTCTCACTGATTTATAAAGTCTAGATGAGTAGTGATATTAGAAAAAATAAATTTTTGATATCAAATAATGATATGTGCCAACATTCAGAAGGGCTAAATAATCCAGTGAACAAATATTTTCCACATGACCAAGTCATGATGTTATCAAACCCTGCATGAATAAAAGATCCATTCCAAATGCAAGATAGGCCAATAAATTTTTAGTGAAACTGAGTACTAAAAATTGATTGATAGGATTTATCCAACTGAAATAAAAAATCTGTCAAATATTGGTATAATATCACGAGAGAATATTCATGATTACCTGATTTGTATGAGACTTGATTTTTTTTTCTTTTTTCTTTCTTTTTGGTACTGGGATTTAACCCAGGAACAATTTACCACTGAGCTACATCCCCAGCCTTTTTATTTTCTATTTTGAGACAGGGTCTCACTAAATTCCTTCAGGCCTCCCTAAATTGCTGAGAATGGCC